AAAACTTGGAAGCATATCAAATACTCCCTCTGTCCCTAATTACTTGTTCATTTTGAATTGACACACCTATTAAGAAAACAATTATTGACATAGTGACTTTATCATTTTACCCCTATTAATTATGAAGTGGATGAATTAAAAACTTAAGATTTTCAAAAAGTTCTACCGTTTTCAAAGTAATTAATTGGGGTATAATAGGTAAAAAAAATTTTGTCCTTTCTTGATTTGTTAAAATGGACAAGTAATTAGGGACAATTAAAAAGGATAAAATGGATAAGTAATTAGGGGCAGAGGGAGTAGTAAACAAGGTTGAAACTTCCAAGAAAAAAAACACAATCCTTAGAGTGAACTGACTATATTCCAAACCGACAGAGGTGAACAAGTATAGTATACTAGGGCGCTTGAGAGAACCATGTCGAAGGAACTCGACAAAATGACCCCGTAACTTGATGAGAAAGGGTACGATCATTATCAGCTCATACTTCTTGATGCCTACACATTGAAAGTGAAATTTGGGAACAAGAAAGCCCCACCTAATGGAAAATGGGATATTTGATCCTCTTTAAAATGTCTATTATTTGCTCTTAACTAGTTGTTGCTTTTGGTTAAGAGTATAAAAAGGCCAAAACTTTTTATTCTCACGCCATGCAAATTTGGATTAGTTAGAGCCTCAAAGCAACTAACAATAATCGAGTTGGAAAAAAAAAACCAAGCATGAATATCACTAGCTTAAATACTTAATCTAACACAAGCATGTAATTGACCCAACTAGAGAAGAATCCACACTAGTATTTTACTTTACCTATGTCGACTTGACACCTCTCTTATTTAAATGCATTCGTTAGAAGTTTATGTTACTAAATTAATTTTATTAATTATGGTTTGAAAATCTAAATTTGACTATTAATATTTATATAGTTATTTAATAGTAAAAGTAAGATTGAAAGCAACTACATTAATATATATTTTTTAATTTGCTAAATTAAGTATAAAATAATAATCTTTTTTTCTTTTTAAATATATAAAAACCAAGTAAAATGAAATGGATGTAGTACATAATCTCTCTAATTATAAGAAGACGTGCTATTTATTGTTTACCAACAATGAGTAGCACGATACTCCTTCCGTCCACGTTTAATTGTAATGTTGCGCTTTTCAAAAGTCAATTCAATTAATTTTCAAAGTTAAATTAGATTACATTAATTCGATATTTTAAACAAAAAATTTAGATATTCAAAAACTATATTGAAAGTACTATAAATTGTAATTTTTTGTATATCAATATGATGAAAAAATATATAGTACTATATTAGTCAAAATTCTTGTTGTTTGACTCTAAAAAAGGAAACCATGACAATTAAAGTGGACGGAGGGAGTAATTAATTTTCTTTTCTCTTCTTTCTTCTGGACAATTCATTGAAGTTTTCCACATTTGATTATGAATATCAATAAATTCCACAAATATTTTATTTCATTATTTATATTAAAATAATGAAATTAGCTATTTCATATATATATCTATATATCCCAACAACCAAACAATCCTTTAAATAATAACCCACTCTCCACTCATATGCTCAATATTTATTTTTCTAAAACTGTTTTTAAAGTCAACATAATTCTTTTAAAGTAAATTAATTTGCATGATTAAAGCACTTTCACCGCTAATAATGTGAACTTATTACTATAAAGTACACCACACATGGAGCATTATCCCACTAATATCGATGTCCACATTTTCCATGCCTCACACTATTTTCACATTCTATATAATATAGTTCGTTTCTCTCAATTTATATGATATATTTTTATTAGTTTAAAATAAATGATATTTTTTAGGGAAAAAATATTAATACCTCCCTAGACTATGACCCAAATTCCAGAAACACACATTAACTAAACTAAGGTCCTATTACCCTCTGAACTCATTTTATTTGTAATTTTGTACACTTTTTTGGCTTACGTGACATCCAAATATCTCCCACACACCTCAACTGCGTGAAGCCATGGGGTGTGCCATATTAGCCAAAAGGTGTACAATATTATATATAAAAGGAGTTCAGGGGGTAATAAGACCTTAGTTTAGTTAAAGTGTGTCTCTGAGATTTCGGTCATAGTCTAGGGGTACTTATGCCTTCTCCCATATTTTTTATATTGAGTTAATTATTAAAAAGCATACATTTAAATTATTATATATTTGCTAGTTTCATACTCTAATTATTCATTGTTCAATTTATCAATATAAACTATCACCTTTTTGTAGAGTCATATTTTAATTATGATTTTCTTCATTATTTGAGAATAAATATTTGATTAATTCAGTATTAAATTGTGTTTTAATTAAAAAAAGTGATAACTCAAATTGTTAAAGAGAATAATGGATAATCAAAATAAAATAATAGTTTAAATACTCCTTTTTGACCGTTAATCCTTTTATACTTAATAATTTGACTTTAAAAAAATTATTTTATTTTTAGTGTGATGATTTATTGATAAATAATATTTTTATATATATTTAGATTTGGATTATTTCACAAATCTCCTTAAGACGGAAGAGGGAGTATATAATCACCTCTTTGTTCTGACAATTGTCTTTCATTTCCCATTACACACAACAACAAAAGAAAAGGTGAAAACAAAAATTTCACTGAAATGGCGGAGTTTCTGAAGATGAATTCTCCGGCGATATACGGCGGCAGAAGACGGCAGCTCTGGCAGTCTCCTAGGGTGGTAGACTCCGTCTCCTGCCGCCAGCTGTACTTGAGAAGCGCTTATACGTTCTCGAGAAAAGAAACTGTTCCTCAAAAAACTAAGAAGTGTCTCGGAAAAGTCAGAGAAAGAGTGGCGAACGGCAAGGGGAAAATCGGTTGGAGACGGCGGCGCGTGAGGAGTTTCACGGCGGTGAGGAGAGTGAAGAAAATTTGTTGTGCGGCGTTGTGCGGTGTTTTCCGAAAGCTGTTAGCGTGTACTGCTACTGTTGATGTTGTCGATCATGAAAGTTAAAAAAAAAAGTCAGTGTTAGTTACAGTATTTTTAATATTTTTTTTTTTCTCTTTTTGTCTTTTTTACCTTTAATTTTTTTTTTTTATAGTTTGTATTCGAAAAAAAAAGTGTTTTATTTCTTTTTCTTTGGCCAAATATTAAAGCATGAGCATGAATTAGTTTAAATTTTTACTTGAATTGTCGTGGACGATTGAGATTTACCTATCCTTATTCAAAGTTCTTTAAGTTTGAATTCTTAGAATGACTTTTCTTTTTGTTCGAAATGTCGCCAGTAGAAATAGGCTTTGCAATGCATAAATTAGGATATCAATGCAAGCATCGAATATCAGATGAGAAATAAAAGAAAGGTGCAACATTTGTTATTACTTTGTTCTATTTAATTTTTTTTTTTTTGAGATTCTAGATTCGAATTGTGAATATATAAAAATCATGATAAGAAGTGTGTTCCCTTTATATTATTAGGATATACACGGCGTAAATGCAATTAACTGAGGCTTCAATTTTTGTATCAGACACTGAATGAAATAGCTATCATATGTATGGTTATACGTTTAGAGTATAGTTTATTGTTTTTCAATTTTATGATTACATAGGATCCTTAGACAAAATAACTCATAATTGAAAATATGCAATTGCTCTACTGTAGAAAAGAAAAATAATAATAAAAGGTAGAGATGTAACCGTAATTAAATGAGCAAATGATAATGCAAGATTAAATTGAAGATTCCAATTAACGGCTATTGGCCATGAAAATAAGGTTGTTTATTACTGTAATTAATGTGACATTAAAAGCCTTCAAAGTGGTTAACCTCAAATCATTAACATCACTCAACTATATCCCCAAAAATACCCTTTAAAATATGAGTACTTATTATTTGGCTCATCAACTCGTATCTTAACACTACAAAATAATAAGACATAACACAAAAGCACCATTTAATTTGACCTTAATTTGTATTTATTTTCTCTAACTTTGGGGTAAACAAATATACATTTAAATTTGAATGATTTTAAAAAATAGATAATTTTATCCCATGTGACAATTTTGTTTCCTACTTGTATTATGCCACATAAGATATATATATATGTCTACTTGTTCAATTTTATAAAAATTTAAGTATTTATTTGTGCACACCCAAAATTACTTAAGCATCAGACTACACAAAAGAATTTACAGATCGATAATCTAGTTTACATTCATTTTTTCTATCAAAGAAAATTGGAAAAAACTTCATAAGATTATAACTTATTGGGGATTTTTGAAATTTCCAAGAATAACACTTTTGAGGTTCTTAGTATATACTACCTCCGTCCACTTTTATTTGTCATGTTACGCTTTTCAAAAGTCAATTTGACTAATTTTCAAAGTTAAATTAGATTATATTAATTCAATATTTTAAACATAAAACTTAGATATTCAAAAACTATACTAAAAGTACTATAAATTGCAATTTCTTGCATATCAATATGATGAAAAAATACACCGCAAAATGTTAGTCAAAGTTCTTATAGTTTGACTCTAAAAAAGAAAACCATGATAATTTAAAGCGGACGGAAGGAGTATATATTTTTTTGAGGAAAATAGTGATAAGTGAATATATTATTCTAAAAAAGAAACCTTTTGTAGTCAATTCTCAAAATTTTGATGGCCATTTAAAGAATCAACATTGTTCCTAATGTAAACATGGTGCTCTAATACAAACATTATTGATTATTTTTACGGCTCAAACCAGTGACCTCAATTTTATCAGGCTCCGAGGCAAAACCCAATAAAATAAAAGTGTAATTGGAGTAATACATATATAAAATTGGTGTCAAATAAAAAATGCTTACGGTTGAATAGCGCGCGAACTGCTCATCAGCATTTTCCTAACAAGCAAAATGCCGAGCCTTGTTCCGCCATGAAAGGTTTCCGTAATTATTACGGAAACCTTTCATGTAATCTCCTTCATCATCTGTCCCATACACAATCAAAAATAAACTTTTACATGTCAACGATGCATCGAATTCCAATCGTGTTAATTTTCTGTACCTCACTTTTTCTCAGATTGCTCCCAGGTATATTTCATTTTGGTTTTTATAAAAAAAAATTGTTCTTTTTTTCGATTAGTTGATTATATGAATATCGTATATAAAGATACTCATTCTTGCGAATTGATTTCTTTGATAGTCACTCAACTAATATGCCTTTCTAAGATAATAAAATATTACTCGGTTGCATTGCCCAATCCATGTTTCCTGGGTTTAAAAGAGATAAACAAACAATTGATCTTTTTTTTTTGTGCAGGATTAGTTAGAGCTGCAATTGTTACACTTGATTCGATTGAAATATATAAGAAACATGAAATCTTCGGATCAAAACCAACAGTATTTTTTCGGTGTAAGGGGGAAAACTGGACAATTCTGCCAGATGTGAAGAAAAAACATGTTTTGTATAGCTTCAAGGGCGAAGAGTCTTGGCAGGTTTATAATGATGAAATCTCTCTCAATTCTTCTATTTACTTTCCGTGGAATTTTCTCCATGTGACCTATAGGTTATGGGTTTGAGTCGTGAAATCAGTACCATCTTGACGAAGACAATGTAACTATCTGGTTGAGAAAAAATCAAAACTTGTGCAATTGTATGTATGGAAAAGATCGCGAATTTCTGTATGTTGCATATAAAACATGAATGTTTATGGCATACGATAAATCTCCTTCCAGGATTTGACATTGATTAAATTTGATGTTTTAGCCTTTGACAGAGCTGACAGATAAAAAATGCAAACGATGCGGGATCTATGAGAAGGACACAATAAAGCCTGATGATACGTTTGATGAGTGGGAGTTATGTCCTTCTGATTTCACTAGTCCTCATGGGAAGTATATTCATTACATAAAGAAAGAGTTCAAAGCCACATTTTTGTGTCCAGAGTGTATCCACCATCGCGATGGTAAGTTTTCTTATTCCTTAATGATATCTAATCTTCTCTTACTTTATATTCGAAGAGTTGCACTTTTTTCGTTATACCCAGGCATATCATAATAAGTTTTCAGATAAACTGCACATCAGAAATTGTGTAGGTTCACTAGTAGTTCCCTGAGAGGCAGGGCGGAGCTGATTGTTAATTTAGAACTCAGTAACTTACCCAAAATCTATAAACTTTAAATCCTGACTCCGCCTTTGTAAGAGAGGAAACAAGCATAATGTTATCCCTCCCGCCCCCTCTTGTGGGGAGAATGGTGTAAAAAATAATACTGAATAAGCTTTTGATTTGCATACAAATCGATTTGTTAGACATAGTAAGTACTAATTTTGCATTTTGTTGCATTGTTATTGTAGCTTCACATCACTCATCTGGCTCACAAAAAGGCGGAAAGAGATCAATGCACTGGGCTTTCATGCTTCTCATCGGTGCTTCAGTGTTGATTGTTTTAGTTCTTGGAGCAGGTATTACCTACAAATGTTGGAAGCAAAAAAAGAGGCAGAACGAGCAAGCTCGTTTCTTGAAGCTGTTTGAAGAGGACGATGACATAGATGACGAACTAGGCATTGGGCCACTTAGTCATGTTATTTAGGAAACTAGAACTATCATTTTTCGCGTCTCAACATACGCGTACATGCTTGACGTAGTTGTATAGTAGAACTTAAATGGGGATTTTTTTTGTATTGAATCATATTATTGCAAGAGAATGTAGCCAATGTAGGTAGAGCCATGAGCTTGGAAGTTAGAATGCAACAATTGGAGATTTATGAGACTGAACAACCTCTTTGAATAGAAGTTTTTTTTAAAAAATATTCAGGGTAAATTGCACTCAACGTACTGTAAGATGAATCGATTGATAGATGCATCCTGTATTTTACATTCACATTTGTACGATGTGTTCACTAGAAGATTTATCATAAGATATATATTTCTATTGGTTTCCGGTTGTTCAAGAAGTTGTATACGAACTATGTTTATCAAATTGATGAGGTTCCCTGCAATCAAATTAGACACTTCAAGTAGGTCTTGTTCATTTTAAACACCTATAGTAGGTCTTGATTGTGACATTTTGATTTTTTTTTTTATATATATTTTCAGATTTAACTTAGGTGTGTTGGACAAACACTTTTTACGTGGAGAAATAAACAAATCTACATGTGACACATGGATTTATTATATTTTTTAAAAAAACTTTGTTTTCTTTGTTTTTTCTCCATATCTCTAACTTAGGCCCCCACCCCTTTCTTCATTCTTCTTCTAAAACCCCACCAAGAACACGAGAAAAGTACAATTCTTATTTTCTCTTCTCACAAGTCACTATAGTTGCAAAGGAAGACAAATATATATAAGAATTAATCTTCATTGTAATTGCTGAGGAGATTAATTATAAATTTGAAAATTAATTATCTCTGTAATTTTAAATAATTATTTATTTCATTTCTAGTGGATATACAAAAAATTAGGTTGAGGTTGAAACGATATGAAAAGTAAAATTTTAGGGAAATACTTCTATTTCGAAACTGTAATCAATTTTTTGTTTTGATGTTCGATAGATCTTCTCATTTGAGAGGAAACGATTAGTGATAAGCGATTATTATCTGACAGGAAACTATGGATGAAAAATTAAATATGAGATCAAAAAATAAAAAAATTAATTCTCAAGAAAGAAGAAGAAATCAAGTAATATACTAACCTAACAAAAATTTTGTGTGATGAAAAGTGGCAGAGAGAGCCTGAGGAGGAAGAACGAGAAAAAGAAAATTCAGAAGAGTGGTGGAAGGAGAGAGAAAAGTGAGGAAGAAGACGGCAAATAAGAATTTCTCAAAGAAACTTCTCAAAAGCGCTTAAAATTCGTGTCGCACACGTATAATGCTCAGTCAGCGAGAAATGTCAAAATGGCACAATAGAAACCTACTATCGGTGTTCAAAATGAACAAGATCTATTTGAGGTGTTTAAGTGAAAGTTAGTGCCAACTTTAAGGGGCTACCAATAGGTTTAGCCTAATAAATAATAAATAAAGTGACATGAACTATGGTAAGGCTATAGGAGTTTTTCTCCGGATCCTTATAGATGGTTTTGTAAAGGTTTTCAAAAAAATAGTGTCTGAAAGCCGTATCATCCAAAAATCCATGGGCTAACACACACAAAAAATTGACAAAACCACCTAATTTCATTTGAGTGGCTCCTAAATGCTAAAAAAGTGGTGTGGATCATCGTGAAACTATAGAATTGTTCCCAAGGTCATTGTGGATGGTTCTATAAAAATTTTGGAAAAAATTGGCGTGGTTTTGAAAAAAAATGTTGAGAAAATTACATAATTCATGTTGAGTTGCCCTTAAATGCTAAAAAAATGGCGTGGTTCATGGTGAAGCTATAAGAGTTTTTCCCTAGGTCTTTACGGATGGTTCCGTAAAGGTTTTGGAAAAAAAGTGCCAGGAAGCTATATCGCTAAGAAATTCCTGGGTTAACACACAATAAAAACTAGAAAAATTGTATAATTCTTGTTGAGTGACCCCTAAAATGCGAAAATATGTAGCGTGGATCATGGTGAAGCTATAAGAATTGTTCCCTATGTCTTTGTGGATGATTCTATAAAGGTTTTGGAAAAAAATGTCTGGAAGCTATATCGCCAAAAAATCCGTGGATTAACACCCTTGGAAAACTGAGAAAATCACCTAATTCCTATTGAGTGACATCTAAGTGCTAAAAGAATTATCGGGATCATGGTGTGGGTATAGGAATTGTTCCCATAGTTCTTAGTATGGTTCTGTAAAGGTATTGGAAAAAAGTGTCTAAAGCCATTTCACCAAAAAATCTTTAGTTTAATTAATACACACAAAAAATTGAGAAAATCACCTAATTCCTATTGAGTGACCCCTAAATGCTAAAAAAAGTGGTGTGGTTAATGAGGAGGCTATAAGAATTGTTCCCAAAGTTTTAACAAAAAAGTGTCAGAAAGTCATATCACCAAAAAATCAATGGGCTAACACATACGAAAACTTGAGATAATCGTCTGGTTCCTGTTGAATGGCTCCTAATAAATGCTAAAAAATGATGTGGATCACGGTGAGGATTAAGACTGGGCACCGGACCCGGTACCGTTCCGATCCGGGTAGTATTTGGGACGGAATGGGATACAGTGAACCGGTACTTGAACGGAACAGTATCATGATTTGATACCGGTATACCGGTACCGGTTCATCCCGGTTCCGTTCCAGTCCAGTCTGGTCACGGTAAATTATTTTTAATTAATTAAAAATAGGCCTGTAGCAGCAGATACGCGTGGCATTGTTTTTTTTTTTTTTAATTTGTGTCATTGTTTTATACTTTTATTAGCATTTCTTTTTTGTTTATTTAATTTGTTAAACTACAAGTTATAAATATAACTTATAACATATAAATTAATAACTTATAAACTTCAAAAGATTCAAATCTTGAAAACTTAAGCGCAATAACTTAAAAAAAACTTTATTAAACTTAACTTACGAACTTATATAAGTAAAATTTTTTAAAAAATATCTTTAAAATAAACTTAAGTAAAATTACATTATAAATTTCAAAACTATTAAACTTAGAAAAATAAAAAAGCATTCATATTTTCGTAATTCAAAATAATTAAAGAATAGATTTTTTTTTTTTTGAAATAGCTATGTAACATCTCGCAATTTGAAATAACTAGGAAGAAGCTAATAATTGGAAATAGTCATTTTTGGAAAGAATGAAAATCTGAAAATTTTGTTAAGTTAGAATAAGTTGAGTTTTGGTCAGCTTCAAACGTGAGTTATGCCCTTTGAAAGTTGGGCTGTTCGAATAAGGAAAGTCTAAACCGGATTTTAGAAGGGTAGTTTGGTCTTTTCCTTACCCAACTTAATTAATTCATTTTTAGGAGTTTAATTGGGGGTAAAGTAAGATTTTAGTCAGTTTAGAAAAAGTGAATTTCACGCTAGGGCTTGGAGAAAGGAGAAAAGAGGAGAAAGGAGAAGAGAAAGCAAGATTCGTCAAGATCGTCGAGTTTAGCTTGTGGATTTCGTCAAGAGGTGATCCCTACGAGGTATGTGAAATCACACAGCATTGGGTTAGTTCACCCACACGCCAATCATGATTCAATTCAGTGAAATATGTTTGATTTGAAAGTAAATCCTTTGAGTTCTTGACGAAATTCGTTTGAATTCTTGTGGGTTGTTTTGTTGAAGTTTCTTGTGCTTTGATTCATGTTTTCGGGTGTAATTTCGGTTTGAATCTAGTATATATTGAGGGTATAAATGATTATAAGTGTTTGGGGAAAGAACCATTGAAGTTTAGAGGGTTTAGAGATGAAAAACGAGTAAGAAAAGTCGGAGTTCACCTGGGCAGGGGCTTAGGGCATCGCGCCTCTCAGAGCCCCATGAGAGGCTTTCTGAACTTTGACCTCTGGGGCGCCGCGCCAGCCAGAGCTCCCCAAGTCAGTCTCTGAACTTTGAGGGCTGGCGCCTCGTTCCTCTCAAAGCGCCAGGGACGCCAGTTCTCCCCATTCGTTCCCCACCTTTTAGTACTTATTCCTTAGCAATGTACCTATCTTTTCTAGTTGATTCCAACACTCTAAGGTACATCTAAAACATCATGAAATTATCCATAAAACATGAAATCATGAACCTTGAATCCATAATCCAATTCAAGGAAAGTTAAGATCAAAGTCAAGAGAAGTAAGAGTCAAGTCAAGAGAAGTTTATAAAGTTTTCAAAAGTCTTTCACAAACGTTTAACTTTGTTTAAAGACTTAAGTTTTCAAGTTAAGCAAAGAGTAAAGAGTTGAGTTCATTTCTTCAAAAGAAGTATATCGGGACTATGTATTCCCAAAGAGTAAAATGTTTTCAACATTTAAACAAGAAAGGAAACCTTGATTTCCAAAGAGCCTTTGGGCTAGTTTTCAGAAAAGAGTAATCGCTTTCTAAATGAAGCAAGAGAGGAAACTATGATTTCCAAGATAGCCTTTGAGCTAAGTTTTTGAGCAATTATCTCAAATCACAGAAATAAGTATGTTTTTAAACATAAGAGCTAATATCACATTTTTTGGGAGTAGTATTGAGCACCGATATGGGGGAGAGTTCAGACAACTCACAGCCCCCATAAACCATGTAGCCATCATGGGTAGAAAAGGGTCATACTTTTTAGATGATTCCTTTAGTGTTTTTTAGCATAGACTAGAGGATCCACTTAGTAGTTCAACTTCTATACCCTCGACAAGGTATAGGACTGCCCTGACAGCGTGAGGCAAAATGCTGTATCATCACAATAGCTCTTACGTGATGGTTGTCGGTTAGAGAAACTCCCACAGAAGTAATTATATTCTTAAATACACAGTTTATTTGTATTTTTACATACATCTCAGAGTTATATGTATCTTTGCATACACACAGAGTTGACATCATGTTTTAAACAACTTTTCTTTATATTGCACTTGTTTTAAACTGCTTTATATTGAAATGAGTTTAGTTATGTTAAGTTGAGTTAAGCCAGGTAAGTTCTTCAGATTCCTTTTAAGCCTATGTTGTGTTTAGCATTCCAACTCGCATACTCGTACATTCAATGTACTGATGCCAGTTGGCCTGCATC